TTTATGCCAAAATCAGACTTGTGTTCATGGATATGTATATATCAGGTGTGCTTGCTATTGGAAGTATTTAGATTAAGTAAGTTCAGCAAATAAATAAAATGGGGGGAAAAGGCATAGAAAGCAACCATGGATACCAGAGAGAGGTCCAGAGGAGGGTGAGACATGGCAGAGGGGGAGGGATAAAGAATCAAGGATGGCAAAAATAACAAAATATACAGGAAACAAGAAATGGAAAATTATTTGTTGACAATAACACGTATGTTGATGTGCTTGATCGAGCCAATATACAATGTATTCTGGATGGGAAATCTCATTTTGTTTGCTGTAATGACGTAAAGTGAATGAGTGTAAATAAATACATTTAAATATAAAAACAAACAAAAAACTGAAGTGTACGACTGATACTCAAACCTTACAGCTTTGGCCAACTGGTTTCTCTAGTATTTATTGTCAAGTTGACATAGGATGATTCATTAGGACTTCATTAACAGAAAAAATATTAAGAACAATTTTCTTAATTTTATTTATTCATATTGTTTTTTAATTAGACCAGAGAGAGACAGAGAGAGAGAGAAAGCAAGCCACCAGGTCCCGGAGGTGAACCGTGGTTGGACATGTGGTAGTCTAGCACCTTAACTACACCAGGACCTGCTAGCCCCTCTGTTTACTTTTCAAATGAGGAACCAAATAGGAAAGGTCTGAAGACGCTGACACAGTGTGATGCCTTCTAATCCTCCTTGGATAGTGGAAGGGTTCAGATTTTTTTCTTGGGTGAAGGGATGAATAAGCTGTGCTTAAGAGTATACAGATAGATGCACATACTTGTTTTATTTTAATAACTAGGTGTCAACCCAGTATTTGTTAAAGATATGGTGGACAGGTTTTAGATGCTCGAGTATGTGTTCTAGTGGTAAAGATCTCAATAGCTTTGTTACAATTCTAGTGTGCTTCTAAATATTTTAAGAGATTCTAAATGTTTTTTATTTGGAAAATGCTTACAAATGACTTCTAAGGACACATTTTTATTCCCACACTCACCATAAATAAATACTTTGCTATAAATTGCAACCAATGTATACACAATGTACTTCAATTCTTATGGCTAAAGATTTCACAAGAACTGACAGTCAATTATGAAGGATCTTCATAAACATCACAATGTGTGTATCATGAAAAAAAAACATAGATTTGAAAATTTTTTGCATCGAAAAACCTTATACTTTAATTCCATTCTTCCTTGTACTTCTTGAAATTCCTTCTATTTTATTTTTATTTATTTATTTATTTTTGAGAGGTTTATGCTATAGGGAGCGTGTGCTCGCAAGAAAGACAGAAAGAGACAGAGACAGGAAGCGAGAAATCACCCCCCCCCCCAGATGGGATGGCCACATTGCAATCCCTTCTCCTCCATTCTCCTCTTGGAATCTTGGGCATGCATGCACATGTGCCAGGCGTGAGTTTAAGCCACTGGGTCTGGGACTCGAACCACAGTCGACTACATGGGAGTCCAGCGACATAGCTATTATGCCAACTGCAGGTCCTGAAATCCCTTCTATTTTAATATCAATTATAAAATCCACTCATTTAAAATTAATTTTTCATTAAGTATTGTTTTATCATTTTGTAAAGACAGCTCAAAGTAAATCTTCCTATTGAATGACATGTTTTTGCATTTACTGCAGGCAATAAAGACAAAAATCACTAACAGAAAATTGCAGAGCCAAAACATCTGCTTTTCAGATGTTTCTTTAAGGTTTAGTGGTAGTCTACAGTGGCAGGTAGTCCACTTTATTTCTTTAAGGCTTAGTTTCTTACTGGAGCATTTTCCCAGGACAGAACTAATTGAAAACCAAAAGTTTTGTGATGTAATTTATCACACACTATTGTGAAACTCTGGCTAATGAACTTACTAAGTTTAGCACCAAAACCAAGTTGTAGTGAGTTCCAGAGAGAAGCAACATTTTTCAGCCTTTGAACTTCTATTAATTCAATGACTTTTTTTTTTTTTTTTTTTTTGGCCAGAGGGCACATGTGCTTGCCAGAGAGACAGATTGTGAGGGAGACAGAGAAGGCACCTGCCATGGGACATGATCACCCAGGGATACATCATAATCTCTTCTCTATTTCTCTACCCTTTCAGGATTTAGGGCATGCATGTATGTGCACCCACGGGTCTTTCTTTCTTTCTTTCTTTCTTTCTTTCTTTCTTTCTTTCTTTCTTTCTTTTTTTGCACCTGTAAGTGTTTTTCAAGCTGTTGGTCCAAGAGTAGAAACTAACAGTCGAACACGTTAAGAGATCCAGGCTCCTTTAAACACCAGGCCTGAACTCCTTAATAATGTTTTCGATAGAAACAGGGTTATTTCTAGTAGTAGGTAGTCTAGTCCTACCGTGGTGGTTAAGGACACTGGACTCCCACATGGTCGACAGGGGTTTGAGTCCCCAACCTGGCGGCTTGATTTCTCACTTTCCCTCTCTCTCTCTTTTTCTGTCCCTTTCTGGTCAAATTAAAATAAATGAAGGAATAAATAAACTTAAGTAAAATAATTCTTTAAAACAAAACAGTGGTTAGTCTTAGGTGAGCTCGGCGCAATACTTAAGTAATTTTACAGTATTTAAGTTCAATTTGTAACTTAGGAAGACTTTTAAATTCAGATTCATAACGCATGCACATTGATCAAATATAACAAGTCCTTCAAACTTTGGTATTGTTAATGTCTGTTGCTTTGGGACCCTAACGAGCTGTTGCAATGTTGCAAACGTTTCCATTAGGCATGTACCGGGTGGTGAGGTGCAGTTAACTGGTCCCTCGCACCGCACAACCGACAGGAATTAACGGTTTGCAACCTAGGACCGCTTTGACCTGTAGGAGGTGCTTAACCGAGTATGGTCCAAATCTGCAGCTCTTAAGAAACGGCTACTCGTTCCTAAACCCTCGGTGGGTTTCCGGAGCCGCTGGGCCCAGCTAGTAGTGCAGTTAAAATGCATTACGAAAGGTGGGCAGCGTTCTCCCTTCGGAGTGCAGGCAGGGGTTTGGAGGTTAGCGGATGCCCATCCGGGGGACCCCGAAGAGCGGGGAGACCGCCCGAGGTCGGACACGGCATGAGCCGCCTCGCATCCACTTACCAGGCCAGGCCCAGGCACGTCCCCAGCGACAGCAGGCTCAGGCCCGTCCGGGGGTCCGCCCAGCCCCCGCCTCCGCCGCCCCCGGCCTCGGGGTTCTTCCCGCTCTCACTCCGCTTTCCGGATTCCGCGGGGGCTCCCTTGGGCCCCGGCTTCTTTCGGCTCTTCACCTCGGACATGTCTGGAGGCCCCGAGGGCAAACCCGGGCGGCTTCTTCACTAGGGGTGCGGGACGTGGCCGCCTTTGGCTCCTCGGGATGCCTAGGCGGTGGCCGCGCCCCCCTACCGGCTTTGG